ATCCAGAAATCCTTCCTGTTGTTTTTCGTTGTTTCTGTATTCATCGGCCTGCTTTCAATTTTATTACATACAAGATAAGTATTTAGGGCTATTGAATTATAATTGATAAAGATTGATTTTTAATTTTTCTAAACAGTTTTCTACGGTTAATCTTACATCTCAGTTCTTACATACTATTCAATTCATGTTTTCACCATTTTTGCAATCTTTATGTTTATTAATCCTTAGTTCTTATTAAATTCTTAACTGTAATATATATCAATATCTATATATACATATACATCTTTCTGTTTAGTAACAACTTGAATGAATTCACTTGCAAGGATGATTGAAAATCTGACTAGAAAGATGAATGAAATGTTGAAATTGGAGGGGTTAGAAGAAAAATGAATTTTTTAAGCTCATTAATAACCAAGCATTTGTTTATTAGAAGATGATATTATAAGCCTAGAAAAAAAACTTGGTTAGAATAACTTATTACCCATATTAAGATCGAGTGCCCATTCCTCTCAGAATCTCTAAAATAGTGATTCACATTTTATTGCATACTCTCACGGGATTGATTTGATAAACATGATTTAGTCCAAATGGTCATTTAACAATACATGCTTAAATAATATTTGCACAAGTTTAGATTTGTTTTTCTACTTTCTAATTGATTTTACTGTTGTGTTTCATGTCTTTGTTTTGATTTAGTAATAACATAGATAATAAACCTAAAGAGGTTACTACACTCGCATTGTGGGAAAAAGAAACGAAAAATATTATTTTGTGATCTCTGTCTTAAAGAGATTGAACGGGAAATAGACCTATGACCTATTTCAATAAAGAAGGGTGGCAAAATATTATCAGATGTTTCAAGGAATATACAGGCAGGGACTACGACATGTTGCAAATGAAAAACAAGTGGGACCAACCGAAAAAGGAATGGAAAATTTGGAAAGAATTGAAAAAGGGATCCACGGGTCTGGGTTGAGATCCAGTGCAGCGAACAGTTGATGCACCTGATAAATGATAGACTGAAAGACTTACGGTGAGCATTGTTTGTAAACTTTGTTACTTTGTAACTTTATAATTTATTATTAATTGGATGTTCGAGTATCACTCCACGTGAGGTGTTTGCAATAACATTGTTCATATTATCCCAAAATGAGTCAATGCGAGGAGCGAGTGATTGAGCGGTTTCAGCACTCCTCTGAAACAATAAGCAGGTACTTCTCAATCGGATTGAGCGCACTTGTTAGTCTGTCCACACATGTCAATAGACCCTTAGATTATAAGTTCGAGCAGACACATGTTGAGATATCAAAGGATGTACGATATATGTCCTTCTTCAAGGTATTCTCTCGAAAGCAATATAGTTAACTTTATTAGAGTATGCAATGATATGTCTTCCTAACATTAACTCAACCAGGACTGCATCGGCGTCATTGATGGAACACATGTTCACACACGTATCCCAAATAATGATAAGTTTGTGTTTATCAGTCGTTGTGGTAGCCACACCCAAAATGTCATGGTCGTCTATGACTTCAATATATGTTTCACTTTTGTTAAGGCTGGTTGGGAGAGCAGTGCACATGACAGTCGAGTTTTTAAATCTGTTACGCGGGATCCCAATACTAAATTTTCACATCCACTTACAGATACGCTCGGGATTGAGCTCATTAAATGCTCAACTTGAATCTCCATATTAATTGTTCAATTTATCAGGCAAATACTATTTGGTCGATGTTGGTTACCCATTACAACAATGATATCTAAAGTCATTTCCTGACACAAGATATCACATACCAGATTTTTCACATGCAAACAACGTTACACGAGGCAGAAAGAAAATGTTTAATAAACGACCTTTCATCGTTACGTGATGTAATTAAGAGGGCTTTTGGTGTGTGGAAAAAGAAATAGATTATACTTTGTGATATGTCTCCCTACAATTTCTCCAAGCATGTACAAATTGTGTTTACTACAATGACATAATTACATTAGAAGACAACATTCCCGTAACGATATCGACTTCCATTTGGCGTAAGAGAATGAAGAACATGTGCCTGTAGAGCCTTGGAATACCTTCTAGGTCAGTCTTTCATAGAAGTGGATAATGAGGCTTTCACCACTTGTACTGTAGGCGGGAAAGATGCAAGCGAATTGGCAAAGTTGAGAAAACGGATAACTGATGCGATAGTAGGAGCATGATTGGATTAAAGTAGCTTGAATGGATGATAAATCATGTTTATTATGGATTTGAATAAGCTTTTATTCTGGACATCATAAAAGTAGCTTGTATGGATGATAAAACAGTTTTTTTTTTTTTTATTTATAGTGAACTTCAAAATTGAAGTTGGGGTGTTAGATATGTAAATTCATGAGAATGGAGTGGTATGTATTTTGTGTTGCAATGGAAGTTTATATGTTGAGGTTTAAGGTTCATAAGTAATTCCAATGAAGCTGAAGAATTTTATTTTGTGAGTTGAGATGCTTGTTGCTGCAGTTGGACACATCTGTGTTCTTCCCTATAAGGAGCATGAATGTGGCAATTTTGTTGCTTCCAATGATCTGACTGGAAGCTTTTCTCAAAAACTGCAAGTTTCAGATTTTGGATTTGCCCCAGCTTTGTCAACCACATCCAAATTATGCTTTATTTCATTATTTAAAACTGCTAGTTGTTGAGTTATGCATTTCACTAGTTGATTTGGAGCTTGAACTGTATTGTGAGTTCTTTGTGCCATATTTTGTAACTAGCAGAATTCATATTAGTGCCATCTTTCATAACTAGCAGAATCCATATTATCACCAGTTTTGGAAGATGACATTATCATATGAAGACTTGTAGATTTAGCCAAATTTCCTCTGCTTCACTATATTTTCTGCTCATAACCTCGAAGCCATTACAGCTGATTACTTCATAATAACCAGTAGTTTTCCAATAATTGTTTTAAATGAAATTGTGTTAAAAATAAAAGATTTACATACATACCACTCAATGCCTATGTATTTACATATTTAACATCTGAACTTTAGTTTCTATAAATATGTGGGTGCTAGAAAGGTAAAATGAAAATTTTAGGTGTTAGAAACGTAAATACATAATAATTGAGTGCTACGTATGTATATGACCCTATATTTTATAGTAACTATGATTTTTGAAATGATAGTATAGATTTCTCTTCTTATTGGACAAGACATGTTTCTTATTGCTGAAGCTGAATAATATCTCTGCTCTAGTTGTTTCAAACATTTTTCAATGCAATGGGGAGTTAATTGTTGGTGTAGCATTTTTACGCTATTATATACAGTTAGTTAAAAACTTGAGGATTTATGTTGCGGCACATTAATTGATGAAATTGTTCAACCCATCAAATTCAACGAGATTGTGTTTTATTAAATGGATGAGAAGTGTCCTCTCAAAAGCTGCTACATTCTGAACCGGCTAAAGCGAAGCCCTTTTTTCTTGTCTTTGCATTTGTTATATAGCTACAGCCACCATGTCACTGCTCCCAGTAACAAATTCTGTCTGACTTTCTTATACAACTGTTTATAGTGAACTATTCTCTTTCTCATGTTCATAGAAATGAATATATGGAATGTTGAGTCTGTATTGATGAAGATATTATTAATTTTTTTGTCAGAATGATGATGTCTGTCTGTTGATTACTTTTAATTTGAGCACGACAATACTATATAAAATTATTTTGTAATGAAATAATAATGCTGATTTTTTAGAAAACATGAATTTGAGATTTTATAGTGCTAAAATTTACAGTAAACAAGAACTTTTGATCTTGTTTACACTGCACTATATCTACTCTTCTGTTGTCTTCTTCTCAGAGCCTGGAAGATGTTTCTAATCATATTAGTAATCTATTCAACCTAGATATGCCCATTTGAACTAGCTTTCTTACCAGATTCATTTTCTTATGTGGAGAACATAGTGAATGGTTTCTTCGGAATTGATATAGCTCTCACCTTCTTTGTTTCCTAGTTTGATCATAAATCTTGTCTTCTGGTAGATGATCACAAGAGAATTGCAACAAGGTATATATATTCTGATAGAAACACAATTTTGCAAATGAATTGTGTAGTATGCATGCAAACGCATAAGAATTGTGTGTTATGTATGTAAATGCACCATAGAAACACAGTTCTGCAAATGAATTGGATGGATGCTTTATTCAAGGGAACAATCCGCATAATATGTGTTAAGAAACCACGATTGTATGTACATAAACTTTCTGTTCTGTTTAGAAATGAATTTTTCCTTCAGAAGTTTAAAAAATATAGCTGTTACAGTCTTCATTTAAACAGTTTTAACAAACAGAGGCAGTATGGTCATTTCTCCAGAAACAGCTGCCCCACAGTTGTTTTCACACAGCTGCACCAAACAGTCAGTCAGCTTCCCTGCAGCTGCTTCCCCGCAGCAATTTCCTGGAGCAGTGCAGCTACAGTTGAAAAGTTGAGAAGCTGCAGTTGCGCCAAACAGAGCCTAAGAGGTTTTCTAAGATGTCAGTGACATCTAAAGAAGTTGTCAAATTTCAGCTAACACCTAAATGTTACTAATCTAGGTTATGGATCATTTAGGCCTTTGATATGTAAAGATATCAGTAAACCAAATAATTAACATCTTCAACTAAAACCACCTTGCATTGCAATGTTTGTATACCAAGCAGCCCCTAAAACTGGTTTAAAAACCATCATCTAGTTAGATGTAAGAAAAAAAAACAAATTGCAAACTGGTTTTTAGAGTTAAGAAACCATTGCATCTAACAATTCCTTTCCCACAAAAATAAGTAGAACCAAATTTCACACTTACTAAAATGCAATTTTAACTATAAAAAACAAAATTGACCATTAATAAATCCTTGCAACTTTTAAATTTTCAGAATGCGGAACAAAAACTCCAAGAAAACAGTAGCAAATACATTGTAACATAAAAATGCACGTTGATGGAGATCCAACAGCTTATCATAACGACAGAGCGTTAAGGGCACAAAACATACCCTTCAAATCGGAGTTGATCTTCCGGGACGTTGTCGATGATATTTATCTGGTCGTATAGGGAAAACATGCGCCTGGTAAAAAAAATTAAAAGAAAAAAGCAGAGCTTGCTAACTAAACTACCGATTTTTCCACTACATTTTCAAATGCTAAAAGAATCAGAACGAGATGGGCTATGGAATAGTCAGGAAGAAGAAACTTAAAACCTGAGAGAAGGGAGGGTTTGATTTGCAGGAGTTAGGGATTCCTTCCGGAGGGTTTTTACTACATATGGTAGCAGGGATGCTACCCTCTGCCTCCCGCCGCTAACCGCCATGATCAACTGATTCTTTAGCTCCCTTCCTCAGCGGTATCTCTCGACAGACCCAACGAATCGCCGGACGCTTGGGAGACGAATACCGGTGGAGTAACCCAGGATGGCTTCACCTATTTGTTTTAACAAAATAAATTCCGAATATTATATTTGCGTTGCGTTTTCTTTTTTATTTATTTATTTTTTATTTTTACGCAGCAAGCACCCAAAAACAGTGTTATTTACGTATCCCACACCCGAACTTGACACCGGAAAACATACGAAATCCCCAAAGCCTCCTAACTAGTAAATTTTATGTATGGACTCTCGATGCAGGTTTACATGCATAATTAAATAATATGTCGTCACGTGTGCTATATCGCAGGGGTTATTTCGAAGTTATTGAAGTGAAATCATCGGGTTGTTTCGATTTTATTGAAGATAAATCTATATATTATACTTCAATAATCTCGAAACAATCTTCGCGGTTCCATTTCAATAATCCTAAAATAACACTACGAAGATTATTTCGTGGTTATTTCTATTTTATTTTAGGATTATTGAAAGGAAACTCATATATTTTACTTCAATAATCCTGAAATAACACTCCAGAGATTATTTCAGGGTTATTAAAGAGAAACTCATATATTTCACTTTAATAACCTCGAAATAACACCCTAAAGGTTATTTTCGGGTTATTATAAAGTTTGCAATTCCAATTTAATGTTATTTTTTATGGTCCCGATATGACACACATGGAAGTGTATTAGTGAGAGTCAGATTGAGTCAAATTCGGAGTGCAGACAGAAAATTTTTTCTTCCCTCAGTTCATCAAGCGATTATTGCGTCTGCACACCGCACACAAATTTGCGTGTGTGCGGTGTCCGACCAGACCACTGAAATATATCTTTTTATATTTTTTTATTGTCAGAGTGCAGCCCACTCTTAACTGAGAGAATAGTTTTGGACTTAAAGCTCTTAACTAACATGACAGAGAAGAATTTGAAAGGGCAGCTTCAAATAGCTAGACCAAGGATTTATGAAGCAAAGCTTGTTAATAGCATATTCTCTAGTGGTCGAACTAGAGAGCATGTCCATTTTATAGAAATATTGACGGCCTCAGGTTACAGGAATTTAAAATTGTTTCCACAAAACCTTAATGAAGTCATGTTTACCATCAATGAGCTAAAAAGTATGAAAAACACAATATAGCAGCATGAAAAAAATTAGAAAAACATAGGATATCACAAGCAAAAAAATGGCAGAATTTTTGTTACTGGTAAAAAAATGAAAAGATAAACAACAGCATTTCGTCATAGGTTTGGTGACATGCATGTAAAAATTGAATTTAAAGTGTTAGATATGTAAATACATGTGACTGGTATGTATGTAAATCTTCCTAATTATTAATACTCCTTATCCATGAAGCATGATATTAGCAAATAACAGTATCCTGCTAGGGACAAAAACTGAATCAAATGCTTATTTATAGGAATAAATTGATTTTTACAACCTGAATTTCTTTCACCTGTTTTCCTGATTCTGCTCTTCTCCTCGTTACGAATAAAAGGATTTTTACACACATTTTTCAACATTAATGGCTGCTGATTCTGAAATGTTAGGAATAAAACTAAGTCACTATGTTTGATTGAATAGGGAGTGGGAAGCAGATTTAACAAATCTGTTTTAAATGAAATTATATAAATATATTGTCACACAAAATACTAACTTGTATTGTTGCATTTAATGATGCATGAAAATTATTTTGCAGTTAAATTGTATCATAAGGTTGTTAAGGACATTTCATCACTTTTTCAACTCATGGACATGAACATGGAGCATGGATGTGGACATAGAGAGAATGAGATAGCTTTTTTTTTCAGCCAAATGTAGATCATTGAAATATTTTATTAGTTTATTAACCTATGTTTTATTTATTGCAATGCAGTGGTCTTCATTTCAAAATTTGTGTGACCATGAGTTTTATGCTCAATAAGAGAAGCCGTTGTGGGCTCTATGTAAAGCTGCTAAAAGCGTACTGCAGTTCTTAAAATCTCTCATTGATAGCTTGTTTTACATTATACAGCCCTTTGTCATAAATCTGATGTGAAGATAGTTTGGTTGGATATTCTAATAAAGTTCTATATTAGGATGATATTAAAATTATTATACATGTTTTTTATTCCCACAAAAGGTATTGTTATTCAATATCAGTGTAATTAAATTTAAATGACATGATAAAATTATCAATTAAATTAATATATATTTATAAGTATATTTCTGAATAAAATACCATCATCGTTGTGTGCTGAAAAATTTATGACGAGCGAGCAATATGTAATTAATGTCTTAGTATTACACGAATGTCCAACGCACACATAAATGAAAAACGTAGCAGAAGAAGACGCTATAATTTTTACGTGAAAATTTTCTTCAAAGGGAAAAAGCCAGTGGGTCTAGCCTAATCAAAATAATCTATTTTGTAATTATAACTACATAGGTCAACTCTTCTCTTGAATTAGAGAAGATAGAATTATAAAGCTTTGATAATCACAAGTGTACAATAATATTTTAGCTATAATAGTCATAATTGGGGCACAACAAATATGGTTTTTAGTTATAATATCAATAGTTGGCTACGAATGTCGTAGTTCATTGCTACAAAGGCAATACTTGACCATAAATGTTATAATCAGTGGCTACAATAGCATCAAGTTGGCAAAAAGGATGTAGTTGTAAGCTGTAATAAGTAGTCAGCCATAAAGATTATAGTTAGTTGCTACAAAGACAATAGTTGGTCATAAAAGTTGTAGTTGGTGGATTCATCTTGTCGGGACACTTGATTTGACTTTTAATATGTTAAAATTGGAGTTCATTTGACTATTCAATTTATAATCAAAAGCCTCTAATTGTGCTTTAATGTTTTGATCTGGGTTTGATAGGACTTGAATTGGACTAATTTTGGTATCAGTAGATTCATCTTGTTAAGACGGTCAGTGTGACCATAAACTTAGTGAAATTGGGGCCTGAATGATCTTGAATTTGAGTTTGGAAGAATCCATATTAAAAATGCATGAAGATTCATGTTTGATAAAAATTTGTTGATAACATAATTACTTTTATTTAAACATTAAAAACCATTCATTTTGTTTCCGCTTTTGTTAGAAAAGGGGCTAGCTAAACTATCACAAATCACTCATGAGTTATTCAATTCATCTTTTAGATGAGGGATTATCTTGACTGGCTTCATCTTTTACTAGCTTTAGGTCATTTAAGGATCCCTTCTCTAGGGAGAGGGGCCATCATAATCACTAATAGTGTGCATCAACCCCAAGTGATTCATTTCCTTTATTTTCTTAAGGAAAATTTTATCTTGACATTCTTTTATCACTATCTACAAAACTTCTCCAAATTTCCCTCATTATAACTACCCTAACTTGCATCCATTAAGATATTGTCCACTTTCGCTTTGTAGCCCCATGTTTTTTTCTCATTGGTGTAACTTTCGAAGAGGTCCTATCCTGAGAGTGCTCTTGTAAGAGCATGCTTAACTTTGAAGTTTCTGATCAGATTCCAATTGTTATACCAGAAGGTTCTTAAATGTTTTATTGTTTAACTTCATTCTATTTAAGAGGTTTAATAGCCACTTCAAAAAAGGACTAATCTAACTATATTTAACGCATTCTTTGACCCTCTTACACCACCTCTTGACAATTTTCTTGTTGCATCACATCCACTATCAAAACAAGAATCTCTCTGACCACCCATAATCATATCGATATGATTCACTACTGCTTTATTGTTTCCACCTTCGGATTGTAATATATTCTCCTCATAGGGACCAAAAATATGATTTCCTTCAATAGCCAACTTGGCCTACCTATGTTGCCTCAAAATTGCCTTCAATTAGTGACACTTTCATTTAGGAGGCTTAAAACTCAAACTTATTATCAACAACATCAAGCATACTGACAATAATCAACTTTCACCTCCAATGTATTTATCTTCTCCAAACTTTGGGACGAGTGTCCTTTGGTAACTAAAATTAACTTCTAATAAAATATATTTTTATCAAACAAGGATTATCATATATGCCTTCTCAGGTTTTAGGTACACATATTTTCATGCTCCGACGCACTTTGCTTTTCTACTTTGTGGGATATTATTTGAAACAAATTTTATTCTCTATTAACTCAATCTTTTGGAACAAATGCAAACGCAAAAAAAAAAAAAGCAAAGGTCTAAACTACAAATATATTAAGCAAATTACAAAAGGTAAAAATTAGAAATGCATGCATGAAAATAAATGCAACCTATTAAATTAATTTAAGTCTAGTCTCATAATTCTCAAAGTATTAGTAGCACACCCATAATAAGTTTCACACATTTCTTACATTTTCATAATTTTTGCGATCCCTTAAAACTTATTCATCTCTTTATATCATTAATGTTATTATTAGTATACATGAAAGTATTAAAATTAATCTTGTATAGTGAATTATTTAAAAATATATTTATATTAAAATATTAATCATTAACTATCATCATGACACTTACAAGCTAAACTTTCATATATTAAAAATAAAGAAGATTTACATACATACATATATACATACACATCTAACATCTAAAATTTTAATTTTTACAAATATGCCACATTTCCCATACATAAAAAATTATAGTTTACTTTTTTAAAATTTAAAAGAGTGTTATTTTGTTCTGATATGAAATAATTGAGTGGTATGAATATAAAAAAATAAAATTTAGGCGTTAGATACGTGGTATCCACGTAAATGCCCTCAGTCATTCTATAATACAAGCTTAAAAGTAGAAGTATGTTATTAAAAACTCCATTTTCACATCTTCAATCTATTAAAACTCTCATCATAAATGAAGAGACTAGGATTCAACCTATACGCGAGAAAATATTATGTTTGTCTTCTAGACAGTGGTGTAAATCGCACCACGTCGTGCATCAGGCAGCATCATGCTATTCACACCATCCGTCAACCGCAAATCTGATTTACCAGACATAATATTTTCCCGTATCAAGATCTCTGTACTTGAACCGAGACCTTTTGGCCAAGAAAGCAGTAATTGCCGAAACTGCATATAAAATAATGCATTCCTTCTTCAACAAGAGAAA